TTTTTACCACACAATAGCAGTATCTGAAACCTGGCTGAAACCTTTTATCCCTTCTCCCCAAATTTCCCTCCCCAATCACCCTTACTTTCGTCATGACAGATCTGATCGCACGGGGAGTGGTGTCAGACTATATGTACATGATAGTCTTAAGGACAAAATCCTCTTACAGTATCCTTTTCATGACCTCCCTCACATTGAATATTTGTTTGTTGAAATTACTTCTATTTCCTCTCCTTTATTATATGTTGTTGTCTACCGCCCTCCTTGTGTTCCATTTGACCAACTCTTTGAATCCTCCCTTGTCAACCTGGTTTCCTCCTATTCCAATGTCATCATCTCAGGTTATTTTAAAGTAAATATGCTCTCAGAATCTCCTGAAAAATACTTCCTTACTGACCTGATATTTTTGTTTAATCTCTATCTGACTCCTTATTCTTCCACTCATCAAACGCAATTTTCTGACACTTGGTTAGACCTCTACATCTCTGACACTCTCATCAAAATCCTTTCCTTTTCTCAACATCCCATTCCATTTCTTTCATCACATGACCTAATCCAAATTACATATGACTTACCCGTGAAATCCTTTACTTCCAAAAAGGTTTCATACCGCAATTAAAACCTCCTCTCCTATGAATCCCTTAAACCTGACTTCAACACCGTCCAATAGGATATCATAATTCTTATAACTCCATTGAACCTATGGTATCTATCCTTACCTCAAACCTAAAATCCATAGTAGACACCCATGCTCCTCTGAAAACTAGAACCTTATGCCGTTCCACTGCTCCTTGTTTAACTCCTAATATAAAGGAAATGATAAAAAGAAGGGATGCAGCAAAGCGCAAATATCGCTGAACCCGTCTGCCTATTGATTATGTATCTTTCAAAGAACTTCGCAATAGTACTCAATCCGCAATTTAACTAGCTAAAGCCACCTACTTCCATAATGCTCTATCCAATGCTCCCGACTCCAAATCCAAATGGAAAATACTCTGTAATCTATCCCTACCAGAATCCAATAATCTCAGCTTCTTCCCTGCGACTCCAGATGATCTCAATTACCACTTCTTATCCTTCTCCTACTAACAATATTGAGCACCACAATTTCAATCCAGAAGACTTTTTTTTCTCCTAAGTGTCCTAAGATGAATTACTTTCTGCAATCCTAAAATCTCATACCAATGATTATGGCCCTGATAATATTCCAGTAAAACTAATAAAATCCAGCCTTCCCGTCCTTATTCCTGTACTTTACCATAAAACCGCCCTTGTCCAACATTTAAATAAAACCTCAAATTCTTCTTCACCTCCTGACATCCATCCCATATCCCTCCTTTCCAATATTTCAAAACCGCTGGAACGCCTCGTCCAAACTCAATTCCTAAAAGAACATTCTCTAATCAACCCTCTTTAATCTGGGTTTTGTCCAAGTTACTCAACTCAATCTGCCCTCCTAAAAATAACACATGACCTCCAAAACTCCATTAAACACCAAAAACTTACTATCCTCATTCTCCTAGATTTCTCCAAAGCTTTTGACACACTTGACCACAGCATTCTGCTTACTAAATTGCAACATCTTCCTTTATCCAACAGTGTCCTGCAATAGCTCAAATCCTTCCTTTCAAATAGATCCCAGTATGTAGTCGTCCAAGGACAACCTCCTTCCTCTCTCCTGCGGTGTCCCTCAGGGTTCCATCTTATCTCCTTCTCTGTTTGCTATTTATATTGATGACTTTCTCTCCTGATCCATCACTCCCAATATATATCTATGCAGATGATTTTCAAATATACCTGTCTTTCCCTCCCTCTGACCTATTAGCAGCCACAAAATAACTTCAAGAGGACTTGAATAGAATCTGTGACTGGGCGGATGCGAATAAGTTGAAGTTGAATGCTGAGAAGACCAAGGCAATTTTGATAGGCTCCAGTCACCTCCTTAAAACTCTTCCTAACATACCAACCCTGTTCCTACAAGATAATCCCATCAAATTCTATCCCACCATTAAGAACCTTGGAACAACCTCTGATCAAACCCTTTCCTGGAAAAACCATGTATCCGATATTTCCCACCATGCCTTTTCCATTTTAAAACGACTTAATTACCTCAACCATCTATTTCCATTTTAAACCTGTAAACTCCTCATTACTTCCTTAATATTTTCTCACTTTGACTATTGCTGTACAGTATATGGGGGCGTCTCTGGGAATCTCAAGGCGAAACTAAAACGTTTGGTAAATTTCCATGTACAATTCATCTTCGGGATCCCAAGGAACGCCTCTATTGCCCGTTATTATGAAGAGCTGAAATGGCTTTATCCTTCTACCAACGTAAGTATTATCTAGTATCCTTCCTCTTCGAAGTCATCCAATCCCGCCGTCCTTCATACATCCTCGAGCTCCATCAATTAAAATCCTCTGTTCACTCCCACAAAACCTGTTCCCGGTATACAAGATTTCACTGAACAGCTGCTTTCGACAAATCTTTCATTATTTGATCCAAATCCAGATAGAATTCTATCACATCTTTCATCCGTAGCTCCAATATCCTCCTCATCTTTAAATCCCGCCTGTTCAATCACCTCTTATCCATTCAGCTCTCATAAAATTGTAAATAGATGTTGTAATATGTATATAAATTGTAAATATGTGTATAAATAATTAGTTTGTTTTAAATACTTTTATTCATTTTTTTCTATTAATTGACGATTGAAGGTAAATAATATTCTTCTCTTTTATTTATTCAATATATAAATCTGTTTATTTTATAATTATTCTCTGAGGATCCAAAGCCCACATTTCTATCTCTGTACATTATTCTAAAGGGACTTGTCCCAGAATAAATAAAGCATTATTATTATTACTTCCAAATTAAGCCGAGAAACATTGCAACAACTGGCCTCATCTCAACCGAGTGAAATAATAATTCATTCTCATTTTTAATAAAACTCAAAATTGTTAATGCAGCTAAGTTTTTTGTATTGTTCCACTATAAAAATGTGAAAACTCTTGAAGACCGACTGAACTCTCAACTCTCCACATTTTGTGAGTGGACATGGTCTGCTAAGAGTTCTGGCGAATAAAATAATAACAAGGAGCTTGTCACAGAATCTTGAGAGAGAGAGGGAATATATAGTAGAATTTACCCCTCAAATGGATGATCACCTAAGAGTTACTCTCAATATTTCTCAAACAATGCCCTTTCAAGTTCCTTAAGAAAACAGATACATTAATAAAAGAGCAATCAAAAAATAAATATAGAGATAATACATAAATTCAAAACATACACATATAAAAGATATATAAAATCACAAGCAATTAATGAAATGGTAAGAGGAGAGACATATATGAATAAGAATAATATTATCAAAGTAGGATGGAATAATTTAGATTAGGAAATTTTATTATGGGACCTGAAGCCAAGGGACAGGTTAGGAATAGTTTTTAAACAGTTTCAGACATTAAAAAATTCTCACACTTGACACTTGATTCACACACATATATATAAATATATTAAAAATATTATATGACTCTTTTCCCATAATTGGCACCAGATAAGTGAATGCTCATAAACTAAAGCCTGGATAAAAGAATGTTTGCTGATTACCAATATCAATAATAAGAGTTTAATAATTTATTTGAAATAGTATTAAATGTTGACAGTATCTAGTTCTGCCATAAATACTGTTACAAAAGTTGAACTTTGTTTACATCCTTCGGTATTATTTAGATAATCTTTACCTCTATCAGGTTATTTTCTTTACATGTCAGGATAATAATCCCAATTATGTTTCTTTTGTTCAGTTTACATGGAGTGGGTGATCAAGGAAACCGAATAACTGTGATAGCCTAACACAAAGTTGGAAAATGTAGGTAACAGATTTTCAACACTTTGAAACCTTTGAGTATCAGCCGTATGGTCGTGTACTGCACTATAAATATATATAATGAGACCCTATCTGCATGTGACAGACCTCGGCTGTGCCCCGCTCTGTGAGAACGGAAAATGCAGTGAGAGCAATGGCTGCTCGAATCAGAAGAAATCCCATTCGAAAACAACAAACCAAGTCTCAGGAAATGGGAATCTCGGTCAGATCAATGTCTAGCACAATAAAAAGTGACCTTCGGAAGGGTGCATTTCGAAGAATAACAAGACAAAGGGTAACCACTTATCTAAAAAAAAATAGAGTGGATAGACGCAAAGTGCTCCTAGGCCGTAACACCAATGGTCTTCATAGAAAGATTTTGTTTATCAATGAGAAAATTTTTACAATTGAAGAAAAATTTATTCCCTAAAATGATCGTGTGTATGCACACAGCTCTAAAGAAGCCCAGGAAGTCATTAGAAGAGTGGAAAGAGGTCATCACCCTTCCTCAGTGATGGTTTGGTGGAGAGTTTGCTTTGATGGCACCACAAAGCTCCATTTTTGTGAAAAAGGAGTTAAAATAACTGCTAAAAACTATCAGGATGATATTTTAGAACCTGTTGTCAAGCCTCTAAATGACACTCTGTTTGCTGGAAGTCATTTGGTTTTCCAGCAGGATTTCCGCTCCAGCTCACAAGGCCAGGTCAACTCAGCAGTGGCTGTAAAAGAACATTCCAGAGTTCATCTCTGCCTCGGATCGGCCCTCAGGAAGCTCTGATCTCAACTCACTAGATTATTGGCTTTGGTCCGAATTGGAGAGGATGGCATGCCACAGAGCATACCCTAACTAGGAAAGCATCAAACAATCTCTGGTCCAAGCAGTTGATTGTTTTCCTCAAGAAGTGCTGTGTACTGCTATTGATGACTGGCCAAGAAGATTAAATGCCTGTGTCAAGGCAAAAGGGGGACATTTTGAGTAATTTCTTTTTTTGTTTTACTCTCTATAGATAAACATTTTATTTTCTAATAAAGTTTTTGAAAAAAATAATTTTTCAGTTGAAATCTGTATATATTTCCATGTAACAATGTTTATGACAGGACTAGGTACATGTCAGGACTTAGTTTTCATACCTGCGTGATCATCGGTTATATTGTGCTGAGAGTGCCTTCCATGACCCAAACATGGAACAAGAGGTTGTCGATATGCAACCTAATAACAAAAATTAGTTAAGGATTAACAAAATTGGTGAAACCAAAGACTCCTTGAAAAAAACAAAAATAATTTCATATTAAAAATAAGAAAATATATAATAGGACTGATTTATTTATTATAAACTATTACTAACAAAAATCTTATAATAATAATTTTATTTTAATATATTTTACAATTTACCAAAGATAAGTTGAGAGTTTAAGAGTTCCTATAAGTGAAGTGGCAAGGTGAAAAATGTGGACAAAAATACTAAGTTAAGACAAATGTATCAGTTAATGATATTGCTACAGTTAATGATACAGTATCCAACCTTCTAAAGACAATCAAAGAGGCAGGTAGTGAACTTTAAAGTAAGAAAATTATTTAGAGACCAATAATTCAGTTTATTCGATTTGTATTCTGATCTTCATAGCGAACAACAATATGAGGGGCTTAATTAAATATTTCGTAGATCATAAAAATGGAGAAGATAAAGCAAATGGCATTATATAGGATAATGCTAAACAGTTGGAATAAAAAGATCTGAAAACTGAAGATTTTGACAAGATACTAAGTACTTTTCTAGTTGTCTTCAAAACTATCAATGGAGTATTGTCTGACCTTCAGCAGCCTGTGTTAAAATTATAGGAAATGAAGAAAAAGAACAAAACTAATGTATAGCTAGAGTGCTGGAAAAGTGTCAAATCTGCAAAAATATAAGCAAAGCAGACTGTAAGCTTCAGGTAGCTCAATATAATTATTGAGTGTTCCTCTACTGGAAAGGCTGCCTAGTTCCATTTCACCAGGATCTATATCATCTATGAGGAATAATATGGCTCCAATAATACAATAAACATAAGCATTTATTATTTTCATAAATGGTATTAATTCATATTTAATCAGGGTTTTAAATCGATAATTAAAAAAATAGAAATAAAATCTGAACAAAATTTTAATCTGTAATTTTTAAAAATCATTTGATGATTTTTATTTTTGATTGTAAGTGATAAAAATTGTTGGCGTAGGGAGGCGCCCCATCGCCCGGTCATTGTACCGCAAATAGCCACTGGCCCTCCAGGTTGGGGGAACAGTACACTGACACCCATACAGTACACAATCTACAGCACATTACAAACACCCACACACTACAGACAAAGGTCACCCACAGTACACATTCTAGGGTCACCTTCCCTAGGTAGCCGCCCCGAGGGGGTGCAGGTCTGCAGGCACTAAGGTGGTAGTCCCACCAGGAGACTAGGGCACGTAATAGGGTAGATAGCCCCACTTCCTAAAAACTCAACCATCAAGAAATCCCAAGCAAAAGCCTCAGAAATTCATGAAGATTCACGAAAAAGATTCGGCAAATGTCATAGGTTTAATATTGGAAACTGGAATATTCTTTCATTGTATAGACCCAGAGCCCTCAATGTGCTCTTGAACGAAATAGATAAATACAAATTGGACATAATCGCCATCCAAAAGATCCGGTATATAGGCCATGGCACACTAGAAAAAAGAAACCACACGATATTCTACAGTTCCAACGATCGGGTACACACCTTTGGGACGGGATTCATTGTAAGGAAAGCATATTAGTTATCGGATTTAAGCCAGTAAGTCCAAGGATATCTGTGCTTAGGGTTAGTGGGAGGTTTTACAACTTCTCAATCCTTAGTGTACATGCCCCAACTCAAGAAACTAATGATGAAGACAAGGATGATTTAAGACTTGCTCAACAATATACTGGACTCCCTACCTCGCCACAATATGAAAATGATTACCGGAGACTTTAATGCTAAAGTCAGTCAGGAGGAAATCTATGTCCAACCATCGGTAAATACAGTTTGCATGAAGAGAGCAATAACAACGGGTGGCGACTAGTCAACTTTGCTGGTTCCTGAAGCCTTAAAATTGTAATAAGAACGTTCTCACACAAAAACATCCACAAAGGTACCTGGACATCGCCTGATGGGCTCACAGTCAACCAGATTGACCACATCCTCGTAAGCAACAGGCACGTTAGTAGCATCACTGATGTCAGAGTGTTCAGAGGAGCTAACGTTGATTCTGACCATTTCCTCAGTATTGCCCACGTTGCTTCAAGAATTGCTGTTAACCCACCCAGGGTCCGGGCAAAAGCAAAAAAAGGTTAAAATCGACAAGTTTAAAGACCCTCAGATTAGGGAGGCTTATGCCACAGCACTGGATTCACAGTTAAGATGCATGGAGGACCCAGAAGACAGTGTAGGTGACATTTGGAGTAACTGTCGCAAAACTATCGAACAAACCGTTGAAGCCATAGTGGGGCATGCTGAAAAGGAAAAGCTGATTTGATAAAGACTGTCGAATAGCTACAGAAGTTAAAAATGCAGCATACCAGCTGATGATCAACAGTCGAAGACTATAGGAAGAAAAGAGGCTGCATCGGGGAAAGAAGAGAGAAGGAATTATCCAGGAGTTGAAGGAACTGGAAGAATCAAGGACCATTGGAGATAGCAGGAAGTTCTTCATAAAGTTAATAGCACTAGGAGACCATTCAAACAAATACCTTCAAGGTGTATTGATTACCAGGGAGCTCTCCTATCTGAGGCTAGGAGGAACCTAGAGGCTGCAGCGAGGAAACTCGGCCTGACTGTCAACGAGGAAAAAAACGAAATACTTGGTAACCCAGGAGACCACAGGACATGGCACTAGGGTGAGTTTTAGATCCTTCAGGTTTGAACAGGTATCAGAATTCACATACCTGGGCTCGCAGATCACTGTTGATAACCGGATGGAAACAGAGATAAATAAAAGAATTTTGATTTCCAACCGTTGCTATAATGGTATCAGTCAACACATGAAAAGCACCCTGGTGACTGAGTGTAGCAAAGTAATCCTCTACAAGACTCTTTTCAGACCAGTTTTAAGTTATGCATCAGAGACCTAGATGATAACCAAGGCAGCCGAGCATGATCTCCTAATATTTGAACGAAAGATTCTAAGAAGAATTTATGGTCCAATGTGTGTGAATGGAGAGCGGATAAGGAGGAAAAATCAAGATCTCTACCAGCGCTTTAATGAGACCAATATTGTCAATTTTATAAGGTAATGTGGTCAGAATGAGAGACGATATGATCCCAAAGAAGGTGTTGGTTGAAATCATGCATGGAGCGCGACGAGTAGGAAGACCAAAGTTAAGATGGAGGGGCAGCATGGACAAAGATGGCAGGAAGCTAGGAGTTCGAGACTGGATGGTGGCAGCACACTGTTGGTGGAGACCATGACTCACTAAGCGGGTTGTAGAGCCAGTATAGATAGATAGATAGATAGAAGTTATACAAATCATATCCTGATCATTATTTTTGAACAAAATTTTTATGACTAACAATAATTATTCTACAGTAATAGATAGATAGAAAAAAAAACTTTATTCTGGGACAAAGTCCCTTTAGAAAAACAAAATTATACAAAAAGAAAAGAACACTACTGGCCTAAAAGTTTGAAACAATAAATACAATTTTAAACATAAACTAAAAAGTAAAGAAAACCTTAAGTGAACAAACTATATACAAAACATATAAAACTGTGTACAAAACACTTAAAACTATGAACAAAACACTTAAAACTATGAAAAAAAACATTTAAAACTATATATAATGGTAGAACAGCATAAATATTCACTTTAAGAAATGAAGAACGAAAAAGAGACAAAATAGAATAAGTTCTTTTCTTAAAAAACTTTAATTGCATATAAAAAAAGTTAGTGATAATTGAATAAAAAAAAAATAATAAAAAAAGAGATATATTGAATGGCATCAAAAGCAAGAAATACATGTACTATCCCTAACAAAGAACAATATTATTCTATGATTATATGATTGCTATGCAATAGATATATAATGGGAATAGTTAGTAGGTATCTGACTGTTTATGGAACAGGAGGTTTTTGAACGAGGATACGGAGGGGGCATGCTGAATGTTGATAGGGAGGGAATTCCAGAAGTTGACAGAGCGGGCTACAAAGGAGTTTTGGTATGAGGCAGATCTATGAGAAGGGATGTATAGATCAGAAGGTCGAGATCTTGTGGAGAGGGAATGGATTGAGGACTTGAATTGGAGAAGGTTATAGTCATAAGAAGGAGGATGATTGTTAATGATTTGATTATCTTCTTAAGGAGGGGAAGAGCAAGCCTAGCTCAGTGTAGGGGTAGAAGACACGGGAGCGTCTCGCAATTACAAATCTTACGAAACTATTCATAAGTCTTTTCAGTCTATCACGGAGCTCCACCGAGAGGCCATCGTACACTACATAGCTGTAGTCAAAGTGGGGAAAGATACTTTTTAAAATCAGAAATATAAATTGTATGTAGTCTCTATGATATATTTTGAGTCTGGAGTAGTAGGTGGAGAATATTGTTGTCAACTATTAACAACAGAACATCTTTATTTCCGAAAAATTTAAATTTAAGCGATTTCTGAAATATAGTATTAAAAAAAATGTACATTAATAATGTACACAAACATATTAATATTTTATTTAATATTTGTGTAAAAAGTGATTTTTATTTTCTGATCAAAATCATTTTTATTTATGTAAAACCGTATCACTCAGTGAGTGATCATTATTTTTAATCAAATAAATAAACATCAAAGATCGATTTAAATTTATCAATCTTAATTATTAATTAAGACCATTTATGAAAATGGCACATGCTTGCGTTTATAATATTATTGGAGTCCCAACATTCCCCATCTATGGATATATGAGGGGGACCCAAAAGTAACGGGAATCGGGCTGCGATAGAGAGAGTGGGGAAGCTCATTGTTCGACCCGGTGTCCATTAGGGACATGTCTCCTGAGTTAGTGTGCGAAGTTGTGTCGCTGTGAGTGCATTGGTTCGCCTGTGAGAATTTTTTTAGTGAAACAACATTTTCCATTTCACTGAAAACGTTATCACCAATTGTTAAGGCAGTGAAATTTTGTTTCCTGTTGTGGAAATTGACCACGGAAACTATTATAATGCTTCAAATTGCTTATGGAGATGCTGCCCTAAGTAAAACTAGAGCCTACAAGTGTTTTTCACGTTTTAAAAATGAAGAAATGTCAATTGAAGACCAACCCCATGTAGGATGCCGCTAAACATCAAGAATTGATGAACAAGTCGACAAAATCAATGCTCAGTAGACTAAGGCTCAAAGGACTCTTCTATAATATAAGTCCGATTAATTTTCAAGCTTTACAGAAGAATCTTACGAGGCGGGAAAAGAAGATTTCTACAATGCATTGGAGAGAGAGAGCTTGACAGTTGCTCACGAAGTGATGAAAAAATCCTGCTTGCACACTTTAAAGCCAAGATTGGCCAGGAAGAAATATATCACCTAACAATTGGAAAATGGAGCCTCCATGAAGAAAGCAACAAGAATGGAAAAAGATTAATCAACTTTGTCTTCTCAAGAGATCTGATTATTGGGAGTACCTTATTCACTGATATAAGGATTCAAAAAAACACGTGGAGTATATAGTAAAACATTTAACCAAATTGACCACCAGCTCATATCGGATCACCACAAATCCAACCTCATCAACATCAGCAGAACCTTTCATGGCACTAACATGGATTTGGATCATTACTTGGTAATATCCAGAATATGAGCTAGAATCTCCAATAGTCCCACATAAGGAAGACTAGTACAAAAATCAATGCAAGCAAGTTGAAGGACCCTGAAACTAGCCAAAGATATGAGGAACAGTATAGCCATCACATGAAGAACATAATGAAAGAAATGGGCAACGATTCTGAATTGGAAGATGAATGGAGGATTCTGAAAGAAGCTATAACTAGGACTGCAGAAGAAGAGTTAGGAAACGAATAGAGATATACTAGAGATGAGTGGTTTGATTTAGATTGCCAGGTAGCAACAGATGCAAAAAACCAAGCTTACAAATCGATAGTGCTCTGAAGATATACTAGGCTAGCATCGAAAGAATATAGAACATTGCGGCAAGCAAAGAAGAAAGTACATCGATAAAAGAAGAAAACATGGGGAAGGAAAAAATTGGAAGAAATGGCGAAACTACGAAAAGTAAATGACAGCAGACTCTTTTATCACAGGGTCAATCAGGAAAGAGGTGATTTCAAACCAACTTCTATCCCCTGCAAGAGCGAGGACGGTTCACTGCTCACGAATAAAGAAGAAATTTTCCAGAAGATGGGTGGGTCACTTTTAAGCTCTGCTAAATGACTCTACAGTGGTAGACACAGAAGCAGGCAGGAAAATCGAAACGACAACTCAGAAGAAGAGAATGAATGCCTCGAGATTTTGAAAAAGTTATGGAAGTGAGCCATAGAATGAAAAAAACAAAAGTCCTGGTTTGGATGTGCTTACAGTAGAGCTTCTTAAATATGGAGATGAAGACTTGGATAAGACCCTTCATAATTTTATGGTGCAGATATGGATTGATGAAAAGATGCCAACAGAGTAGAAAAAACGAATAATTTGCTCAATCTACAAAAAAGGTGATAGGCTTGATTGCAAGAATTATAGAGGGATATCGCTCATACCAACAGCTTATAAAATTCTTTCCAGAATCGTCTTCAATCGATTGTGTCCCTATGCCAAACAAATAGTAGGAAAGTACCAGACTGGCTTTAGAAGTTGGAAATCCACAGTATACCAAATCTTTTCCCTGAGGACTATCATGGAGAGGGGAATTGAATATAACATGATAACCTGCCATCTTTTTGTAGATTTCAAGAATGCGTACAATAGCATTAATTGCTCCAAAATTTACAACTACTTGAAGACTTTTGAATTCCCAGGAAGCTTATCTAAGATAATCATGAATCATGCGAGGAATGTCATCAGAGAGTGCTCGAGTGAGTTTCAGACCAATAAGGGTCTGCGATAAGGGGATGGACGGGCATGTTCATTTTAATGCTTAAAAATGCAGTAAGGGATTCGGGAGTACAGACAAGAGGAACTATAGTCAACAGAAGTGTACAGATTTTGGGCTTTGCTAACGATATTGACATAGTGGCAAGATCAAAATCTGAGCTGATTAACGCTGACAATCCAACAGGCAGCTGTGCTATTGGGACTTGAGATAAATGAGGCCAAAACTAAATATATGGTGGTAAAAGCCAACGGATTACAGCAAGGTGAAAGTGTCATAGAAATAGGCCCATACAAATTTCAATGAGTACAGGAGTTTATCTATCTTGGATCCCTGGTGACATCGACAAATGACATGACGAAGGAAATAGGGAAGAGGATAGTGGCAGCCAATCATTGCTATTTTGGCTTAAGGAGGCAGATCAGGAGCCAACTACTAAGACAAAGTAAGGCAAGATTATATAAAACTTTGATTGAGGGCAGTGTTCGCCTTTGCCTCACAAACATGGACGATGATAAAGGCTGATGAAAAAAGAAGGCACTGTGAAAGAAGAAGTTTGGAGGAGACGGAAAAAGTGGGAGTTATACACTCTATATAATGACTTAAACATTTAAGTCATTTGTACACATAAACAATGTGGATGATATATAATTATCTTTAGGATAACATTAAATGAGACAGATCAGTAAAAAGACTATGTGGAAGGCCAAAAATCAGATGGATAGGAAGAATTAACAAAGATGCAATAGAGCTGCATGCTGATAACTGGAAAGAAATAGCCTAAGGCAGGCAGAGATGGAGAAGGCTGATTAAGACGGCAAAAGATCTACAAGGTCTGCTATAATGCCAACAGAAAAAAAACAACAAGATCACAAAAAACCAAAAACCTTTAATTTTATTGTTTTTTAAAACATCGTTTATAAAACTTCCTAAGTTCAAATATGATCTTATTTACATTAATTTTATACATTAAATCATACATAACTAACAATATTCATATGTATATATATATATATATATATAAAGATAGTAAGATTTGTTGAAGGGACCCCGAGACGTTCCCATGTTTCTCAATATTATGCCCAGTTAGGGTGGCTCTTCCCCTCCTTTAGAAGACAATACTTCTTTGGCACATTCCTTTATCAAATAATCAACAACCATAGCCCATCCTATGTATACAATCTCCTCCAATTTAAATCATCAGTCCACTCCCTCTCCACAAGATTTCGGCCTTCTGAACTTTACACCCCTTACCATAGATCTGCTTCATTTCAACATTCCTTTATTGTCCGCTCCTCCACCTTTTGGAATTCCATACCACTTAAAATCCGCCATGCACCATCCTTATCCACATTCAAAACCCTCTTATTCCAATTCCTCTTCACAACCCAATCAGACGCTGGTTAATTATGTATCATGCAACAAGGATAATTTTTTTTTTTTTTCATACACCACTACTTTATTTTATTTTTTGTTTATTATTTGTGAACTGGAAAGATTCAGTATCACTTTTGGCATAGCACTGTGAGGTGATGCATAAAAAGTAAGAGATTGTTTGTTGTTTTTATCCATTTTTCTTTTTTTTATCTACAAGATTGTGACGTATTTCATTTCTTACATTCCTCAATTTGTATACATATATATCTTTCTATTTCTTTTTTTCATCTTATTCTTTTTCTTTTTTTTGTTATTTTTTCCAGTAAAATTATAAATATAGTTGAGAAGATTTTATTTTATTTTTTAGTAATTTACATACTATTATTTAAGTTGTTGCATATATTGTTTGAATCTTTATTGAGTTAGTTTTTGGCCAGATGTGTATTTTTTTTCTTTTGTAACTGTACATTATTGTTATTCTAAGGGGACATCTTCCCAGAATAAAGTTTATTTTATATTTCTCTCTCTCTCTCTCTCTCTCTCTCTCTCTATATATATATATATATATATATATATATATATATATATATATATATATATATATATATATATATATATATATATATATATATATATCATAAATAGGTAAGCGAAAGTAATATACATTAGAATCTGTTACTTAACCATAATTCACCAGGAAGTCAAATTATAAATAAGAAAATGTGAAATAGAATAAAGAAATAAAGATTTCAATAAAATTTATCAAGCTACCTGATGATATGGAGTAACAGAATAATCATAAGAAGGAGTTTCACTATATCTGAGATTAGCTATATCTGATGTCATTTCTGTATTCCGCAAGGGTGAATAATTTCTTGGCATAACAGCCTGAAAACATAGAATAGGTTATTAAAAATATTTGACACTAGATCTTATAATTTGAAATTATGTTCAATTTGTGACAATCTAAAAATACAAGAATATTTTTCACCTGTTTTCTATATAATCCAATGAAGTTTTCAATATGATCCTATGACGTGTCATAAAAAATTACTGATTTTGTTCTCTTGACAACTTTAATCCACAAGTCAGTTTTTTTTTTTTTAATCAATTAAGTTTAATATCATTTTAATCACTATAATATAATATACAATATACTAAATGAATATGTAATAAAATGAACTCATCTTTCCTTCCGTTTTGTTAAAGATTATTTTAAACAACATGTCATTAAGATTTGAAATATTGCTAATATTACACTATTATGGGAAACCTAAGTTTTCCACTGCTGAAACAACCCTTTTGGTGAAGCAATCCAAAAAAGAGGATGCTCTTACTGAATGGATGGTAAGAAGAGGGTTACAAAAATTTTAAATTGTGATATCAAGTTCAAAAAAAAAAAAAAAATATATATATATATAGTCCAGGAACCTAAGCAAAAAAAAAATTTTGTTTTACAAGAAGTTTCACCCATTTCGAAAACTGATGTCCTTGAAGAAGAGCTGAAAAATAAACGTTTTTAGACTTTTTTCAGTTATTGATTCATAACTCAAAAAGAGTACTTCCTAGCAAAAACTATTCTATTTCAAGAAATGAACAACATTAAATCATGTTAAAAAAACTGCCAAAGATACAATCGGAGTGCAATGTCATCAAAGAAGTCACAGTTTGATGAGAAACCATTGAGGAGTCAAAAATCAGAATCGTTGTTACCTTTGTAGAGTTAACATGGTGTGTGTACTGTAATCTCTCTAATACTTGATTGCTTGCAGGAAGTACCCATTATTTTTATTTTTTATTTAAGAGGAACAGTTAGTTTTTTGTTTTCTATTCTTAATTTGTTTATTACATTATTTCTTAGTTTGAGATATTTACTATGAAATGGCTAACACGCTAGATCCTAAACCACCTGACATTAACGAAACTACTTTCAAAACCAAAGGAAAGTGGTCGAATAAATATATTTTAATGCATATAGGAGAAAACTCATCTAATAAAACGTTAAAATATTTCAGTCTGTTAAGTGTGTGCAGATTTATTAAAACCTATTGCCCCCAAATCAATGTAAAGTTTCTTTATAATGGCACGGTTTTATTAACAGTTATAATGAAAAAGATTTTATCATGTTGGGAGATATAAAAACATTTCAAAATTTTCTGATAACTTTCAAGTTACACAAATCTTTAAATTTTTCATGTGGTGCCGCATATATTCCTGGATTATTAAACTGGTTGGATGACGAAATAGTTTCCGAACTGAACATTACGGAGTAATTAAGATTAAAAGAATTCACAAAAAAATAGATAATAAGAATAAGTCTACTCCATTTTTGATAGTGACATTCCCATATAGACTGTTATTAGATTTCTAATGATGTAGAGATGGTTGATCGTTGATATAATATGAGAACGAGTTAATTGGGAGGTGCGGTCAAATAAATAATAAATTAAAATATAGTATTTATTTAATTTTTGCCGACGTTTCGACCCACTTTGCAGGTCGTCTTCAGGGCGTAGGATGTAGCACTGAGGAAGGCAGTTGAAAAAAGCTTTTTTCAACTGCCTCCTGCAGTGCTACATCCTACGCCCTGAAGACAACCTGCAATGTGGGTCGAAACGTCGTTGCTATTACCGTTGCTACTAAAAATAAATCACCTTCCATATTATTAGAAGGGTTATTATTTTTATTTTTTCTAATTAGTTTCATTCTTTTCTGTACTTACCCCTCTTTACAGACTGAATGCACAAGTAGTAACTTTTATTTTAAATGAATATACTTCAATTGCATTTAAATTGTTTGAATTACAGAAAAGATGAATTAAAATAACTGCTCAGTTACCATAACTGCTCTGTGACCTGCCTATCTTGAGGAAACAAATTTGAAACCTACTAAAGACAGAATTTAGAAGATATATGATAAGAAGAAAAGATTACATGGATGGTCAAATTGCCTGTGATGGGATGTGTATATTAATCAAAGATAACATTCATTTTATCGATATAAATACTAATTCCAATTTGAAAGTGATTTCAATTAAAATGCTATTCCAACCTCGCCCTTTCATCCTTGCTCTCTTTACCCCCTTCTGGTCAAGTTTTCAGTGTTTAACAATTAAAAGATTTAATAGATTCGTTACTACCACCAGTTATTCTAGCAGGAGATTTTAATGCTCACAGTCTTATGTGGGGTAGTGATCGGTTAGATGAGAGGTAAATTGGTAAAACATTTCTTTGATAATTGCCATTTGAATATTATACACAAGCACATTGATGAAACTCACCTCTGTAACAGATCTAGAAAACTTTCAGCAATAGATCTTACAATTACCAGCCTTCCATTACAAGCTACAACTCAATGGTATACATTAGACCTGGGGGCTCCAAACTTTTTGGCCCACGGGCCACATTGAGACCTTGACTAAGTTCCGCGGGGCGCATAGAGACCTCCACCGAAGTTCCGCTTTATATTTTATAAAAAAAATATCTTGATTTATAAATGTCACTTCAGCTGTCAAATGAGAATTTTAAGAGAAAACAAAATCATGCAATAAATGTTGTAGTAACCTTGTGTGAGTAATTTGCTAAATTTCTTTTTTTTTTAAATTTAACAATCTTATCAAAGAAACTTTTGCAAGCCGGATTAAAGGAACTTGCTTTTAGGGGAGCCGGATCCAGCCCGCAGTCCGTAGTCTTAGTTTGCCCCTGCATTAGATGATAATCACGGCAGCGACCATTTTTCCATAATTACTAAAACTCTAAATAAATGCCTAACTGGCAGTGGACCTAAAAAAAGGCTGATCAAAAAAGCGAACTGCTCTCTGTGTCACGATCACGTTCAGCTTTATGACATTAATTTATCCGAAGCTGATGCTGATTGCTCAATCACTCTGGTAAACAAAAGAATACTCCAAGCAGCAGAGGTAACGATTCCACTTCAAATCATAGTTCCCGCCCTCCAATACCTTAGTGAACTAATGAATGCAAAAAGGCAATAAAAGAAAGAAGGAAAGCATTAAATAAATTCTTACGTTGAGCAACCTCTGAAAGATTAGACATACAAAACTGCCAGAAAACATGCAAGATATATCATTTAAAAAAATAAAAAATTATCTTGGCGAAACTTTCTCAGCAAGGTTAATTGTAGTACACCAAGCATCGTCTTCTGGGAAACAGTAAGAAAAATTATAAGCTATGGCTTTCCCCCTCAAATTAATTGTTTGAAAAATCGTAACCATTAAGAAACTGCCCCAATCACTTTAGCGAACATGGTAGCAAAACATTGCTGTATCACCTCAGAAACCATACCTCTGGTTATTACTAACAATCCATTAGATCCCCTAAATCAACCTTTCTCAATGACTGAATTCATCTCTGCTTTGAACTCCAAGAAAGATTCCTTATCTGATCTGAATCAAATCTCCATAGGCAGATAAAACTGTAATTTTAAAGAGTTTAAATAAATTCTTCTAATCCAATAATTGCCCAAATATATGGAAAACAGCTATGACAATTCCAATCCTGAAAAAAGATAAGGATCCCACGAATGTTAACAATTACAGAACAGTAACACTAACATCTTCAATCTGTAAACTGATGAAGAAATTAATAAGTAATCGGTTGCTACTGTACCTGGAATTTTAAAATTTACTACCAGTATGGCAGAGTGGGTTTAGGAAAGAAAGAAGAACTTGGCACTATTTAGTTCTCTTAGAGTCGGATAATATAGAGGGCTTCGAAAAAAAAAAAAAAAAAAAAATATTAGTCGTCTTTATTGACATGGAGCATGCATTTGATAGGACATGGAGAAGGCTCATAACCCACACATTGGTCACCATGGATATAAATGGACACATCCTGGCTTTTATAAATAATTTTCTTACTAATAAAAAATTCAGGGTAAGAAATGGAGATGTTCTGTCTCAGGAATTTGAACAAGACAATGGTGTATAGCAAAGCTGCGTTTAAGTGCAATATTCTTTTGTATTTGTTTTAATCAAGTTTTAAATGCAGTGACGTTGCCGGTCAAAGATATGCTGTACGCAAATGATCTTGTAATTTATTCTAAAGGAAAAAGGTAACAGGCCTACAAGAGAACACACAAACTGCTCTAAAAACATCAATGACTGGCTTGCTAATCACAGCTTTAAAATATCAACAAATAAGACTGTTGTGATCCTTTTAAGCAGAAGACTACCAAATCTTTTGCCATCATTGTTTATTGACAACCAACCGATGTCTTTCTCCAAAACTGTCAAGTACCTCGGTATGACATTTGATTGAACACTTAATTGAGGTATCCTTTGAACCTCTTCAAAACGGTAAGTAATAAAAATTGGGGTGATGATTGAAAAAACATGTAACTATATAGATCATTTATAAGATTAAAGTTATATTATGGTTGCAATGAAAGGAGGTGGAAATATTGTTAATGCCTTATAAAACCTATTTTTTTTTTATCAGTGTGACGTCAGAAATAAGGACAAGCTCGCAGAAAAAGTAAATACCTTGCCCAATTCACAAGAAGATGGATGTGCTTGATTGTAGAAATTACTGAAGTATATGCCTATTGTCTTGTGTCTATAAAATATTTTGAAATATTTTATGTATGCAACTTCTGTCGTATGTGGAGGGATTACTGGGAAAAAATCAGAGCGGATTCCGCAAATTAAATCAACAGTGGATCAGAACTTCTCACTCTGTATTGACCTAAAAAGAAGCAGAGAATACAGTATTCCTATACATCATCTGTTTGGACTTCAAAGGTGCCTATGACAGACAGTGTACTATGTAAATTAATTCAATAATAAATTAGCAGAGAAACTGATTCAATTAGTTAAATTGAACATGGAGGAACCTTTGAATATAGTGTGTGTACAGGACGAAATGTTAGAGGTGAGCCTTGCAAGAAATGGTTTGAGATTGAGAGATGTGCTGGCATGTCTGCTCTTCAACGGTGCAAGATGCATGAATCAAGACAACAGGCATGGTGTTCAACAGAATGGTTCAAAATCTTGGTTATGCGAATGATCTAGATATTATCAGAAAATCCCAGACTGCAGTATGTGATGCCTTCCTTGATGCCGAGAAGCAAGAGCCAAACACTGGAATTACATGAAAATGCAATGAAAATCAAGTAGATAACACCTGAGTTTGGCATCCTGGCAGATACAGTTCAGTTTGGTTCATTTAAGTTTGAATAAGAGGATGAATTGGCTATCGGTTGTCCCTGATAACTGTGGGAAATGACTTCTTAAAGGAAATTGAGAGAAGGAAAGTTATTGCTAACCGATGTTACTCTGGGCTAGGAAGACTTATAAAAAGTAAATATTTGTCAATGACAACCATATTTTATATTGACTGAAAATTAGGAAATATATATTGTTCTACAGTTGAGAAAATTTATATATATATATATATATATATATATATATATATATATATATATAGCATTTCCAAGTCAATTTCAATCTTTTCCAAATCAAATTAAACCTTTTCCAAGTCAAATTAAACCTTTTCCATTTCAAATTCAACCTTTTCCAAGTCAAATTCAACCTTTTCCATTTCAAATTCAACTTTCGAATTTTTGTCAATTTTCGATTTTTTTCTAATTGAAGGCCACTTACTATATTATCGAAGGCATAGCTTTTGAAAAATACAAAAAAAATTTTGATAACGCGGTTGCATGTCCATTTATTTTAACAGTTTAGATTTTTTCAGTGTGATATTTCTATGTGATTTCCAAGACAAATTCAACCTTTCCCAAGTCAAATTCAACCTTTTCCAGATCAAATTAAACTTTTTCCAAGTCAAATTCAACCATTTCCATTTCAAATTAAACCTTTTCCAATTCAAATTCAACCGTTTTCATTTCAAATTAATGTTTTAATTTTTTGTAAATCTTATATTTTTTTTTTAAATAATGGCCATCCCTTCCCCCCTCCAATATGAAAGTCTATTATTATGCTCTCCTAAGTAGAATTTTCACTTACGGATATCGATTTATTGTACCTATTCGGATTTATTAGGGACTAGTATTATGCTGTCCTGTACATAGTTTTGAAAATATCCCCCATTTTAAGATTAAGTGACTGCGGTTCGAATCATTTACATTTTTTTGACTTATTCGATATAAGGATGTATTTTTATGTTTCCCGATCAGTAAATTTTGAAAATGACATCCATGTTATGTTTACGCCACTGTGTTTTGACTTATTTAAGTTTTTAGAATTCATCCAATATAAAGGTCTACTATTATGTTTCTGGAGCCGTAGATTTTGAAAACGACCTCCATTTTAAGATTAGGCCACAGCGTTTCGACTTATTTGAGTTTTTCGGATTTTTTTCATATGAGGGTGTATTCTTATGTTTCCGGAGCCGTAGATTTTGAAAACGACCTCCATTTTAAGATTAGGCCACCGCGTTTCGATTTCTTTGAGTTTTTCGGATTTTTTTCATATGAGGATGTATTCTTATGTTTCCGGAGCCGTAGATTTTGAAAACGACCTCCATTTTAAGATTAGGCCACCGCATTTCGATTTCTTTAAGTGTTTCGAATTTTTATCATAAAAGAGTGTGTTCTTATGTTTCCGGAGTCGTAGATTTTGAAAATGACCTCCATTTTAAGATTACGCCACTGCGTTTCGGCTTATTCAAGTTTTTCGAATTTATCCAATTTAAAGGTCTACTTTTATGATGCCGGAGCCTTAGTTTTTAAAACGACTTACATTTTAAGATTAGGCCACTGTGTTTCGGTTTTTTTAAGTGTTTTTGATTTTTCCTTCGAATAAAAAACAAAATACGAAGGATTAATTTATTTTTCAATAAATAAATAAAAATATCTAATCAAAATAAATAAAATATGTATTGTCTCATTTTTAATTTAATTTTAGTTATCTTTTTTAATGTTGTGGTCTCCTGTCACAAAATTATAAGATTTCGAACAATTAGCTGAAAAATCTGAATACGGAAGGTTAAATTTATTACCAGCTGCTTTTCGGCTTTTTAGTTTGTATTCTGTGGTTAATTTAACTTTAGCTTCATAATATTTATTTATTTATTCATACTCGAAAACATATTGATGAAACTTTGTATTGAAAAAATCCAAAATGAAGCCTAATTATTCGAGATGCAGCGGCTTAATCATAAAATGGAGCTTAAATATTAGATAAATTTAAATATTAAAGATTAGAAAAATTTCAATACGTCTCGGATAACATATAAGTAGATCCTTATACCGAAAAAGTAAAAAAAAAAACTTTTATAATCCAAAACACAGTGGCATAAACTTGAAATTGGGTCATTTACAAAATGGGGGAAATCTACTGCTTTAGAAACATAAAATTAGACCTTTATACTTGTTAAATTCTAAAAACTTAAATAAGTTGAAACGCAGTGGCGTAATCATAAAATAGAGGTCATTTTCAGAATCTACGGTTCCGAAAACATAAAAGTAGACCTTTAAATTGGATAAATTCGAAAAACTTAAATAAGTCAAAATGCAATGGCGTAATCATGAAATGGAGGTTATTTTCAAAATCTACGGCTCAAGAAACATAAAAGTAGACCTTAATATTGGATAAATTCGTAAAACTTAAATAAGTCAAAACGCAGCGGCGTAATCATAAAATGGAGGTCATTTTCAATATCTACAGCTCCGGAAACATAAAAATACACCCTTACATCGAATAAATAAAAAAAACTTAAATAAGTCGAAACGCAGTGGCGTAATCTTAAAATGGAGGTCATTTTCAAAATCTACAGCTCCGGAAACATAAAAATACACCCTCATATCAAAAATATCCGAAAAACTCAAATAAGTCGAAACGCGGTGGCCTAATCTTAAAATGGAGGTCATTTTCAAAATCTACAGCCCCGGAAACATAAAAATACACCCTCATATGAAAAATATCCGAAAAACTCAAATAAGTCGAAACGCGGTGGCCTAATCTTAAAATGGAGGTCGTTTTCAAAATCTACGGCTCCAGAAACATAAAAGTAGACCTTTATATTGGATAAATTCTAAAAACTTAAATAAATCAAAACACAGTGGCGTAAACATAAAATGGATGTCATTTTCAAAATTTACTGATCGGGAAACATAAAAATACACCCTTATATCGAATAATTCAAAAAAACTTAAATAATTCGAAACTCAGTCACGTAATCTTAAAAAGGAGGTTATTTTCAAAAACTACTCATACGATAACAGACCCACACATCGAAAAATTAAAGATAATTAAATAAATAAAAAAAGGTTGAATTTGAAATGGAAAAGGTTTATTTGAAATGGAAAAGGTTGAATTTGACTTGGAAAAAGTTTAATTTGATTTGGAAAAGGTTGAATTTGACTTGGAAAAGGTTGAAATTGACTTGGAAATGCTATATATATATATATATATATATATATATATATATATATATATATATATATATATATATATATATATATATATATATATATATATATATATATATATAAAATTAAAGAAGAGTAACTTGAACAATTATCCTATACATGGATATTGATACAAACCTGTGTCTTGTCAATGCTGAACTGAGAACCAGTATACTGGTTTATGTAACTTTGATTTAAATTAGATAATAAACCAGCTGAAGGTGATGGGTAAAGAGATGACTGTGTTGGATTGGGATGATTTTCACTCACAACAGACAAACTTGCGAATCTACAAATCAGACACAATATTAATAGATTTAGTTGGGGAAAACGTCTTTTATTTTCTTCAATAATATTAAAACCTTAGAGAACACTTAAAATTAAATAATTTGCCAAAATGTCATTTTTATTATGGTCAAGAAATTTTTTACTATTATGGAGAATATTGTTTGGAAGTTGGTTGAGGGTTGCAATCAGGGAGAACACTTAAAAAAAATCAAAGGTTTTTGTTTTATTTTGAGCCGATGTTTTGGCCTAAGTTGTGTATTATATTACATTTCATTATCATTATCATTCATTATCATAGAGAGAGCATGAGAAAGAATGATTTAATAAATTAAGTATTTGAGAATAAGTCAAAGATGAGTTGTTTGTTAGTTTTTAGATTTACCAGCCGATCTTCGAGTTTGATATAAATGTGTTGTTGAGAAATATTGGCAACTGGAGTTGTGGAGGAGAACATATAATTTCCACTTATTCCCATATCCTTCCACAATATTTTTTTTTTTTTATTTGTTTGTTTTCTCTGAAAGTAACTCCCAACCCACTTCCCAACAACATTTTTATTATACATTATTCAGAAATAATATTAATTGAATAAAATAATTTACTCTCATTTTTTTAAAAGCATATCCATTGTCTTCTAATCTTATAACTCCTGTCCTTGCCAGAATAAAGCTATTTTATAAGCAGTAGTTGTAAAGTGTCACTCAGTGGCAGATCCAGGAATTGGCACATCTATGCCAGGTGCTTCCCCCACCCTTACCCATTCCCCCACCACAACTCATATCTCTCCACCGCCAAACATTTCCCCCACCCCCTCCACCGCCCTAGAACACTTAAAACAGTCTCAGAGCCCGTAAAAAAGAAATTGAATTATCTGAAGAAAAATTTAAAAGTATTTTTTTTTAAATATTTATAATATCACATAACTTTCACTTAGCCCCTACTTTCAGTAAAAATCAGTGTTAAATAAATTAATAAATTTTAAAAATATTACTTAAATATAAATCTATGACAATTATTAAAATGTATATTTTCTTATTTAAAATATATTCTTTTTTTTTTCTATCCTACTTTGCTTTTTTGGCTATGGTGCCACCTAAGGCCATGGGTGGAGATTTTATGCACGAGTTAAAAATCCCGCCATTGGGATTTGAACTCGTAATCTTCAGGTTATCACATTGCCAGGCAACTAGTATTTTGCAACACATCAGCTGGCCACCCCGCTCTAATTTTTTTTCTTCTATTATTTCCAACAATGAGAGAAAGTTCAATATTTTAAGCAAAACAAAATTAATTGTACTTTAGAGGAAGAACTTTTAAAAATTTGACATTTAAGTCCTGTATGACTATCTCTGTAAAAGGAGATAGCTTGCATACACCAAAACAAGTCTTTCAATGTCGAATACTTGGATTTTTTTATTCTCTTTATATTTAACAATAAAAAAAATAATTGATTGCTCAATCTTTTATAAGGTAAGCCTCTTTTTTTGTACAATGTGATTGGGCTATTGACACCAAATACTTAAGTGACCCTATAATCAGATATTCCTTTCAATTCCACTTTTAATCATACTTATATAAAATTACAAAATAATTACATGACCATTTCTGGATCAGTTTCATTATTATTAAACCCAATAACATACCAACATCACTTGTAGAAAGGATATTTAAGTCCACAAATAAAATAATCACATTATCCTTATAACGACACTAATACTTAACTCATACCATCTCCATGTTTACTTAAATGCTCAGATTTTGAACTGCTCTCCTGCACTCCAATAACAGTGAGATAACCAGTAGTGAAAAAGTTAATTATGAGGATCATAAATTGGTGACAATAAGGTCACTGGATTCTACAAAATGAATTTATAATAAATTCTTAGAGTATATACCATAGTCTTCCTAGGAAACAAATAAATAAAATGTTCCCAGAAAAATACCAAGAAAATTTTAAAACATTATCTAAAAGAACATGTCTGATCCATAAACATTGAGGTAGATGTGAATTTCATAATATATTTCAAAATATGACAGAATACATGCAACTAATGGACATTTTTAAAATGTTAGACAATATGTGGATGGTTTGGAAAAAATAATAATGATTGAGCTAATATTGATATTAACCTTTGTGCTAAATCTGGTACTGAAGTACTGGGTGTGTACTTTCCTTCATGACCTAATAAAGCAGTTGACTGCAAGCCCCTATTAATTCCGAATTTCTGATAAATTCCAGATGATTGAGACTGAAAATAAAATTATTAATTAGTATATGACTAATAACATAAAATTAATTATTTCTCTATATAAAAAATGTACACATATATGTAAACAGAGTAGCTCAGTCTGTAAGGCACTGTGCTTCAATGATATGAGCCCCGAGTACGAATCCAGATAAAAAGAGTCATTCCAAAGAGTTTTTTAAGTATTAATCTATTTCTAGTTCATTAATATATTAAAAGGTTTCAAAATTTCAACTCAATATTGCCGTCCAGCGGGGAGGAAGAGGGTATCACTCTGCACCAAAAGTGGAACAGTGGAAACAAAAATGTATGGGTTATATAATTAATACTTAGGAAAACTATTGCATTTTTTTTTAAATTATAAAACAAAAATGTATTAAATTTTCTAGTCATATTTTTCAGATTCGGTGCCATTTTTTATAAACAGCATTCGGCCAAAGGTCACCAAATATACACGTTTTTAAAATTAGAAATGGACTATAGTTCATTATCAGACAAACTAAAATTCACAAATGAAGTAGAAGAAAAAAATAAAATTAGATTCTTGAACATGAATATAAATAGAAACGAAACAGATACTAAAAACATTGTGGTGTAAAAAAGATATCACGAGCAACAGAATACTAAATTGGCTTAGTAACCATAATACACAACAGAAAATAAATACAGCTGAAAATTTAATTGAAAAAGCCGAATTAATTACAGATGAAATACACATTAAAGCATGTATAGCATATATATATATATATATATATATATATATATATATATATATATATATATATATATAAATATATGAAATTCTTCTCCGAAATTGGTACCCTATAAGACTGATAAATAAATTATAGCACAAAGATAAAATGGAAAAAAAAAAAACATAACAATAAAGAACTGAAGAATGGTTCAAATATCAATACAAATATAAAAACTATTCAAAACAAGACCAGAAATAAAAGAAAAAATCTAATCACAAACTATTTTAAATTAGATAATACTAAAAAACAAAAAAATAATAAAGAGAATCCTGATCTACATTTTCGGTATGATAAAAATAAGAATAATAACTCAGACCCCAACCCCAAAAAATATTTTTCTGTCACTTATATTAGAGGCTTAACTAATAAAATAGAAAACACTTTTAAAAAATATGACCTAAACGAAATAAAATTTGGGAATAAACCAATTAATAAATGAGGAAAATTATACAGTAAAACTAAGGATGTTATTCCTAAAGAAAAATTGACTAATATTATATACAAAATAGATTGCAAGGATAGTGAAAATAAAGCATACTACGGACAAACCTCACAATGGTTTGAACAGAGGATACAACATAAACAGAATTGCAGGTCTAAAACGACAAAATCAAAATTGGCTATAGGATTATCACAACATACCACAAATAATGGACATAAATTTGATACAGCATCGGTTCTACAAAGAGAATTGAATATTAACAAGGAAGAATAATAGAGTCAATATTCATTACTAAAAACCTTAAACAATCTATAAATCAACAAACGGATGTAGATAATCTTAACGCTTTTTATGCTAGTTTAATTTTTATACAAAATTAAAATATAATATATCGAAATATGACTTCAAATAAAACAACTGATGCCTAACTCCTCCTCCCAACCCCTGTATAAAATAAATCCAGTCTTGTATGAATGTGTTATAGATGAACAGCACACTTAATATGTTCTACTAAGGAAGTACATAATTTGAGATCAAATAATTTTTTTTGTTTTCTTTTCTTTAAAAAAAATTAAACATTGTATTTTAGTTATTTAATTATAACTTTTAGAAATAAAAATGACAATTAATGAAATAAGAGAATGATCACCGATAAATTATATTACAATGATATATTTTGAAAAAAATTTTGTGAAGCGGTGCATGGTAGATACATAATTTTTGCATTAAACCATGCATTAAAATGGTTTTTAAAAAAACAAAATAACCAAATAATATATTTTCAAGTTAATTTATTATTAGCCATATTTACACCAATTTTTAAAAAATTTTGTCACTTAATGACTATTCATCACAATGACGACGTTTCGGCTCGTCGAACCATTTTCAAGTCTATAAAAATTTTTTCATTTACAATCATATATTAAACGAAAATCTAGTAAGCTATGACGCGGAATCCCTATTTACGAATGTTCCACTTAATGAAATATATAGAATACTGGAAAAACGATGCGATGAAATAGAACCATACACAGAAATAAAAGATAAAAATGTTTTTATGGAAGCAATCCAATTAATTAGCGAAAATGGCTATTTCTCCTAAAATAATAATTATTACAAAATGAAAAATGGTCTACCGATGGGCGGATGTATGTCAATCAATCTTTCGGGTATATATCTGAACAATCTAATAGATAATGCTATAATTAAATGGGAAAAAAAACCGAAGCTTATTATAAAATACGTTGACGATATACTTGCAATAATAAATAAAAATGAATCTGTTAAATTTCTTGATAAACTAAATGATATATCAGATAAACTAAAATTCACAATGGAAATTGAGAATAACAACAAAATAAGATATCTTGATATGTATATTCACAGAAACGAAAGTGGCGATCTTAGCACGGCATGGTGCAAATAACATTAACCAGTGATAGAATCCTAAATTGGCACAGTAACCACAAAAAACATATAATAATTAACACAGCTAAAAATTTAATACATAAGGCAAAATTAATAACAGATCAAAATCATATAAAAGAAATCAAAGCACAAATATATAAAATTCTATTAGAAAATTGGTATCCCGTTCGATTAATAAATAAGTTATGGTATAAAAATAAAAAGTTAATTATAAATGACAGTAGTTACAAACAGATTATTGATATTAGCGATGATAGGAGCGAGAAAGTGAAGCAAAATATTAAAATTAATAAAGAACCAAATTTAATAACAAATTATTTTAAAAGTGAAAATGCAGTTAAACAAAAACCTTCCATGAATCATATACATGACATTAAGACACAAATTGAAAAATGTAATGGAAACAAACAACCTAAAAAATATTTTAGCGACTCATAAATTAGAAACTTAACGGATAAAATTGAAAGAACATTTAAACAATACGATGTAAATTAAATTAAATTTGCAAGCAAACCAATTAATAAATTAGATACAATTTATTCGAAAACTAAAGATAAAGTACCTATCGATAAATTAACGAATATTATTAATAAAATAAATTGTAAAAATTGCAACAACAAAGCATAATTTGGACAGACATCCCAATGGTTTGAAAAAAGGCTTAAACAGCATAAACAAAATTGTAATTCAAAAACCACAAAAATTAAATTAGCTACTGGACTCTCCCAACATAATATGCAAACTAAACATGAATTTGATTTCAAAAATGCCAAAATCCTACATAATGAAAGAAATAAGAATAAACGTAGAATCAAGGAAGCAATATACATAACTAAAAACTTAAAAAACTCAGTAAATAATCATACAGACGTGGATAATATGAATACGTTTTACGCTAGTTCAATTTAAAAAATCAAAATTTGAAATAAATTAGCTAATATTACTTAAAATAGATCCACATATAATATTGAGAAACAGCATTATATATGTTCATAATAAATAGTCTTCCCCTACTCCTATAAGAATAACCAGTCACTGAATAGAAATGAGATGGATGACATGTGGGTGACTCAGAAACAAGGTAAATTTAACTTATTTGAATCATTTAAAAGTAAAGAATTGAGTAATAATAATTTTGTTAAATAATTAAAGGTGAACATGACAATAATAAAGAATTTTATTATGAGTAGACGCTTGCAATTCGCATAAGTTAAAAGGACAGGTATATGATGGGTATTTTAGGTACATAATAAGAATCTTTACAATTTGAAATATGTTAAAGTTAATATATGATTGTAAATGAAAAAATTTTTATAGACTTGAAAATGGCTCGACGAGCTGAAACGTCGTCATTGTGATGAGTAGTCATTAAGTGACAAAATTTTTTTAAAATTGGTGTAAATATGGCTAATAATAAATTAACTTGAAAATAAATAGTATGCACCGAAGAAGAAGTGAGAAATATTCTGTATAATAATATATAATATAATATAATATATAGCAATATATACAACTCTAAAATTGTTGTTATACATTTTTTTTTTCAAATATAGAATTAGGACTATGTATGTTACTGATTGTTTATAACTTATTATGTATTTTATAATGATATAGTTTCAAGTGAAATAACTAAATTAAAATTTGTTTGCAGAATCTTGAAAATGGTTCGTGAAGCCGAAACGTTAAATAATAAATACATAATTTAAAAACATGTATATTTAGTGACATTTTCCCTAATGCTGTTTATAAAAAAAAAACGTAAAAATGTATTTATTATAAACATTTTTTTTTACATAGTCATTTGTCTTGTCTTAAAGTTTCAGCCACTTCTTTCAGTTTTGCCAATCTCGTTCTAGAAGACCTCTGGTGGCCATGCCTTCCTCTACATCCTATAACAATGTCTTGCTAGGTTGTCCTCTTTTTTGCCTTACTATCTGTTTATACAGGAAGATTAATTTTGGCCATGCTCCTCTGGCATTCTTTCATAAGGCCATACCATTTTAACCTTTTTGTTTCTAGGTCGTACAGGATTGTTTGTTCTCGTTAGATGTTCTAACCAATTGTTTTGTTGGAAACATCTTGGAGTCTGAACATGGAACAACATATTCCGATAGAGGCGAACCATAGTTTTAAAGAAATTTTTGGATGGATTAAATAGTGGTCTCCCCCTTTGCTATAAATTCTGTCATTCATTAATAATTGTTTTGCTCAGTAGACGGAAAATGTCTATTTTAGAAGTTTTATAATTAATTCTTATTGCTTTGCTGGTATCTTGAGCAATTTGATCGGCCCTTTCATTTCCGTATAGTCCCATGTGTATATACGGGACACTGGGGATCTTCCAGATACCCAATGGAATGAAAATTTATTGCTTGATGTGGCAATTAAATCAAGAATTTTATACAAAATATAATTGGCAATTGGGGTCCTGTATGCATTTTGTAGGCATTGGCAAATGGAGGCTGAATCTGAGAGAAAGACAATATTATAATTTTAGTAGTTGAGATTAACATGTTCTACAGACTTAAACACACTTAAAGCAAGAAGTTCTGCATGGAAGATACTGAAATTGTTTGGGATAGAGTAAGAAAGATTGATCTTTTTTCGCGGGTCATAAATGGCTATTGAGCATGTATTAGTTGTCTTAGAAGCATCAGTAAAATTTTTAATATGATTAAAGTGTCTATCAGGAAGTTTTTCTTAATACATACATACATATATGGCGCTACATCCCGTCACCGAGACTGGGCCTCCTCCAAAAGCTTTTGCCAGTCGATACGATCAGCTGCAGTAGCTTTCCAGTTTCGGACTCCTAGTAGAGCCCGTGCCTCTGATGTCACTGAGTCCTCCCATCTTACATTTGGCCTGCCAACTTTTCTTGGCCATGCATCTTTCTGGACGGCATTTTCTTGGTTTTGCTGAATCATTAATACGTGCGACGTGCCCGGCCCATCGAAGTTGTCCTAACATTATAAACTTCACCAAGTCTATGTCCTTATAAAGGCAAGCGAGTTTGACATTTTTCCTTCTTCTCCAAATTCCACCCTCTCTAACAGGACCAAAAATCCTTCTCAAGATTGATCTCTCAAAGATCAGAAAGCCCATGCTTCTGATCCATAAGTTAAAACAGGGCGGACCAAGATTTTGTAGAGAGTGATCTTGGTCCTGTTAGAGAGGAACCTGCTTCTAAAATGCTTTGAAAGGCTAAAGTAGCACCGTCTCGCTGTTGCTATCCTTCTGTTGACTTCTCTAGAGATGTCGTTTTCGGGGTTGATTTCAGACCCGAGATAAACAAAGCTGCATACCTTTTTGAAATTATATGTTCCAGCCACAAAAGAACCAGTCCCTGGCCCATCTCCTCCGACTATCATATACTTGGTCTTAGCTTCATTAATGTTTTGCCCAAGTTTCTTTGCTGCATCTTCTATGGCCAAGAACGACTCTCCTAATGCACGTTCTGATCTGGCGGCAAAATCAAAGTCGTCAGCGTACCCAAGAAGCTGAACGGTACTGTTAAGAAGGGTTGCGTGGAGTTGGATTCCGGACATACGCAATGCTTTCTCTGCAGCGAAGTTGAAAAGAAGACAGGCTGGAGCATCTCCATGTCTTACACCGCAGTCAGTATGAAAATCTTCTGAGAAGTCACTTCCTACCCGTACTGCACACTTCGAGCCTGACATTGCATTTTCATGAGCCGTATTAGTTTCATTGGGACGTTCATTTCCAACAGGGCCTGATAGAGCTCTGGCCAAGTTACACTATCATAGGCGGCTTTAAAATCAATGAAGAGGTGAGTAGGTAACTGTTCTATACTCTTTGCATTTCTCCAGCATCAACCTCAGTGAGAACAGTTGATCCAATGTGGACCTCCCTCACCTAAATCCCGCTTGATATTTGCCTATCTCCTTCTCGGCATGAGGAACTAGTCTCTCAAATAGTATGTTAGAGAGAACTTTATAAGCACATGAGAGGAGCACTATGCCTCGATAATTGTTGCAATCTGATTGGTCCCCTTTCTTGTGCAGTGGGTAGATAATTCCCCTTTTCCACTCCTCAGGCATTTTCTCTTCCTCCCATATCTTCAAAATGAGGTTATGGAGCTCCTTTCTTAGTTGCATTCCTCCATAGCATATCAGCTCCGCTTGAATTCCATCCAGTCCTGGAGCCTTGTTGTTTTTCAGCTTCGCTGTGGCCGCTTCTATATCTTCATCATCCGGTGGCTCGGCATCATTAGAGAAGTTGTGCTCTTCTCTGGCTACTTCTTTTTCAAAGTTATCTCTTTGAAGCGCACCGCTGAAATGCCTTGCCCATCTCTTCAGAATTTCCCCTCTCTCTGTCAACAGATTCCCGTCCTCATTCTTGCACGTAGTAACTTTTGGTTTGAAGGCATTACAGCCCTCATTCACTTTCTGAAAGAAGAGGCGAGTGTCGCGAGATGTCCTGCAGTTTTCTACACCTTCATCTTGCAGTTCTCCCATGCTCTCTTCTTTCTCCTGTGCAATCTCTTTTCCTTTCTTCTTTCCTTTCGGTATGTCTCCTGTGTTTGACGTGTATGGCGCTGGATAGCCTTCTTATACACTTCATTTTTCTTATTTGTTGCCTCGAAGCATTCATCATCAAACCAAGGGGACCTCCTGCTTCTTGTCTGCAATCCTAGGATTTCCTCTGCAGTAGTTTTCAGCACTCTTGAAACTCCCGACCACTGGTCATTCACTAAGTCATTCCTATCCCTTAGTTCCTCCTCCAGCTTAGTTTGAAGGTGTTGTTGATAGGTTTCACACACTTCAGGATCCTTCAGTTTGTGAACATTGAATTTCTTCACAACTTCTCCAATATCCGAGTTCCGCTTCGTGGTAATCTGGGCAATACTGAATTAGTGATCCGAATCCACATTTGCTCCTCTATATGTTCTTACTCCAATTAAATTGGACCTGTGACGAGAGCTGATTAAGAAGTGGTCGATCTGGCTGGTAAACGCTCCATTCGGTGATTTCCAGGTAGCTTTATGTATATTTTTGCCTAGAAACATAGTACTTCCGACCACCAGGTCGTGAGTTTTCGCAAAGTCAATCAATCTTTGGCCATTGGCATTTGTGTTCTGATGAAGACTGAAAGTTCCAATTGATGGTAAGTGTATTCTTTCCGTGCCAATCTGTGCGTTCAAGTCTCCTAGAACCATTTTAGCATCATATGCTGGACAAATCTTGAGGACTTTAGAGTGGTCTTCGTAAAACGTGTCCTTCTCTTCTTCAAATGACACTTCAGTAGCTGCATGACAATTAATTATCGAGATGTTAAAGAATTTTTTCTTAAGACATAGGTAGCACAATCTAGGGGAGATGGGAGTAAACCTTGTTAATTGGCGAGCTCATCCTCGGACGATGAATCCAGTTCCATATACATGGTTGGTTTCGTGGCAGCTATAATATACGGTATGGTACCTCTTTTCAAGGGTGCCACTTCCAAGCCATCGGACTTCTTGGATCGCTGTGATATTTGTCAATTTGTTCGAGGAGCACCCGCAGAGCCCCGAGTCTATATAAAGATAAAATGTTCCAGTAGGCGATTCTTAAGTCCATCAAACGTTTCCTGGTTTTATTCCGTAATGACAATCTGGCTATTTCTGCTTGTAGAGGTTTCGTAATAATGAGTATTTAAGGGGAGTGGGTTATTAGCCCATTGCCCCCGAGTCAGGTGGAGGGGCTGCCTCCTCTGAGCCTCCTGACCGGCTCGTAGCGAGTTGTAAGGCTCTAGCCTACCTCTAGTCTACCAGGCCTACCGAAGAGGCGTTTCCCACCTTCGGCACGGGGAGCCACCTAACAACCCTTGCCTACACCTTCGCTTCTTCAACCTAGGGAGCTGGACATCATTGGGTGCTTCCACTACTTACCAAAGGAGGGGTCTCTGGCTAGTGTCGGCCGTCAGCAGGTCAAATTCATATTAAAGTTGAATTTGAAGAAAATCCTGAGGAGTTATGAATACTTTAGTTGATGGTAGAAAAAAAAATCATTCAAAAAAATCAAGTACTGAAGGTTTTATTTTTTTATTTATATAATAACCTGTATTTAAGAGTTTTAAAGGGCCCTAAAATTTTCTTAACAAAAATTTACTCAGCCTACTTTACTAGAAACACCTTTAGGTTTTTGTAGTATATGATACATTATAACTGATTTAAAACAATAGTTAATACTTTTTTTTCTTATTCTGCACAAAAAAAAAAAAAAATTGATACATATTAACCTAAAAATCGAGCAAAGCAATGGCAAAAATAAATACTATAAATTTAGTTAAAATTATATACATTTTTTTTTCTCAGCTCATTGGAAAGAACGCCAGTATATATGTCTAGTATATTATTTTTTGATGTAGTATCACCAATAAAAATTTGGTAGAAATCGGTGACCCACAGACTGTATCCTCTCCTTGTTAAGTATGAAAATAGCTAAGAATAATAATAGCAAGAGAGTGTTAAGAATGATAACAGCTAATACATATAAAGATTACAGATTTGCTAATTAACCATTAAGAAAACGATCTAAAATTTTGCTAATATTAAAAGTTGGTAAATTTGTAAACAAATTATCACATTAAATACTTTGAAATGAAACACAAAAAAGTTTTTTTTTTAGTTCAACATGAAATTTATACAAATTGATTATTTCCAAAGCAAAAAAAATTTCATTTTTAACCTTACTGTTCTGTTCTTCAGTAACCAATAATTTTAACTATAGCAATGTAAAAATAATAATAACATCTACTTACAGCAGGAGTTTCAGGTCTAAATCCTGCCCTCCTAGGAGGCTTCCGAAGTGGCTCTGTGGTCCAAACATTAATTACTATAAAGAAAAATCTTGTTAAATGTTTGAAATAGTGATTTAGAAATAAGGATGTATGTAAATTTCAGTCATTGTATTAAGTTATTTCTGTGGCAAAACTATAATTATAACAAATAAAAATTTTACAACTCAAAACCAAACGAAATAAGTTTCTGGACAATTAAATAACACTCTAAGTTTTGTAAATTCATACTCTTGACCATAAAAACTTTATGCAGATGGTGAACTATTTAATAGGGAGGCTCTTAATCTAGGGATATTGAAAAAGGATATGATGGCTAACCTCAACATTCAGATGATGAAAAAAATATTGATTAAAGTCAGCTGAAAGACCAATTTTAATACTCTGTTTAAATTCAGCCCATTTCCAAGAAAATTAGTAAGAAAGCTGGCATAAAACTGGGCAGCACAACTATGTTAACACCACACTCACATTGCTTGCTCCTTATCTTGTGCTTTCTCTGTTGGTGGATTTTGGTGATGCAGTCAAAGAGCCAGAGAAGTGGAATTTTTGTCGACCAAAGTTTATCTTTGGTATTATGACAATTGTTTTCACTGCTTTATTGTAGTTTTTTATTCCTATTCTTTTCTTTGATTTAGGATGCAGTCAGATAGGAAAAATGATTTAGCAAATTCTTATAATTTTTCAAAAGTGAGGAACTTTTCAAGGGCTTAAGTGACAAAAATTGTAAATGTAAACCAAATAATTCATGACCGTTGAAAGATTTCCAATTTTATTAATTTTACTTGTCTTTATATCTTTATATAACCATTATATCTGTATCCATCCCTAACTACACCCTCATTTGTCATGATCAAAAGGACCGGACAGGTGGTAGTGATGGTCTTTACGTTCATGAAAGTCTGAGGACAAAACTCCTTCACAACACTTGATCTTTTATTTTTATTCCAGCTTTGGTTTTAACTGCCGTATATGCAGATGGTATTCTACTAATTTATATACCAGTATAAGGGAAAAAAGTAAGGAAACACATAGGAACAATAAATGAATATATATATTAATAAATGAATATAATATATGTATATATTGCATGTACTTATATTGTAATAGATGAAAAAAAATTATATATATATATATATATATATATATATATATATATATAATTATAAGTAGGATCTTCTCAAATCTCTAATTTATTTTGTTCATTTCCAATAAAATAAATACTTTTTTTGTACTTCATAATTTAAAGAAAAAATACAGGGTTAAAAAATGTATTAATATCATATAATAATATTAATGTATTAATTAATTTAAAACATGAAATTCGAAAAAAAGTATTTCATTTTGTATTTTAAAATATTTTATTTGAAACACAACTCAGGTTTGATCCAATACTTCAATTACAAATGTGGTGATTTAACTGAGAGTTATGTGGCTAACGCATTTTTTTTTTGCACCTCACCTATCAATTACATCTTAAACTTTATTGATTTTACATCGAGGACAGCAGTCGTCGAATTGTTTAAAAGGACGACCAATATTCAAAGAAGAAGTATTTAGCGAAGTTCCTTTACCACAAGCACTCAAATTTTATTGTATTGTACAGCCAAAAACTATGTTTAAAGACTAATTTAACACATTCTTGCCATTTCGTTTTCATTTCTGGCACTACGAATTTGAGATAATTTCTTAATGCAGCAAAAGAGAGATGTTTTCCAACTTGATTCGTTGCTAAATACTTACATATCATCAATATTGTTAATCACAACAAATATGGGAACACATCCATTTATATTTATGAAAAAATCAATATGTTTACTCATACTTAATTTATTTTAATTATAAAATTATTATGTTATGTTAGCTAAAAATTTTCTTATATTTTTCTTCGTCAGACAATTTTCATCTTTTTGTACATTATAATTATTCTAAGGGGACTAAATGTCCCAGAATAAAATTTATTTTTCTTCTTATTCTTAAGTAACATTAATTATAGGCTATATATCAGTAGAATTTTTCCAAATGGCGAATAACTCCATTATTTATATAAAATATTTTTTTAAATAAAATAAAATAATGTCTCAAAAGGCAGACAAAGGCTATCAACTCTTTTATTTTTCTTTAATATACCTAATAAGCAATATCTAAGAAAAATTGTATAGGGGTATTTTTGGGTATATATTAGTAAATTACTTTTGAAGTTATAAAATTACTTTATTTTACGGCATGTAGAAATAAATAAGTTAATTGGTATAATTAACTGGATTAATCCTTAATAATAAGGCTGGATTAATCCTGAAATCAGAAGGCTGATGAAGAGAAGAGAAAGCAAAAAGCTTTGACCAAACGCACACGTAATCCGGATAATTACATCTCTTTCAAGACCCTTCGAAACCTAACTCTATTTTCCCTGTGACGTGCTAAGGCACAATTCTTCCATATCTCTTTATCACAAGCACCAGATCTTAAGTCCAAATGGAAGATCCTTAAAAATCTCTCCGTAGTAAAATCAAAAACCTGTACCTCCTATCCTGTTTCTCCTGATCAGCTGAATTCTTACTTTGCTGATCCTATCTAAATATCTATCTCCTCCTCAAGCTACCTTCCTAAAACTTCCTTTGACACTACAAATTTTTATTTCACAAATATCTCACAAGAAAACCAGCTTTTCTCTTTCCTCAAATCCAGAACGAATGACTATGGTCTGGATCTAATCCCAGTGAAATTAATCAAACTATGTCTTCCTGTCATACTGCATATTTAAAATTTTTCTCTTCGAAATTCTAGTTTCTCTACAGCTTGGAAAAATGTTAAAGTTCGCCCATTGAACAAAGTTCCAGTTCCCTTCAAAGTTTCGAATTTCAGAAACATTTCTATTCTCTCCAACCTTTCAAAACCTCTCAAAAGACTAGTCTATTCACATACTAATACCTTCTTTGAGCAAAAAGCTCTCCTCAATCCCCCCCAGTCTGGTTTCCGATCCCAGTTCTCCACCCAATCTGCTTAGCTGAAAAAACACCCAAGACCTTCATTTCTCCACAGACAAACAAAAAATCTCCATCCCGATCCTCTTTGACTTTTCAAAAGCCTTCATTCCGTTAATCATGAAATCCTCCTTTCCAAACTCCAAAATCTTTTCATATCAAATAGCATCTTAAAATGGTTCCGTTCCTCCTTGTATCACAGATCCGAAACAGTCATGATTCCCAATAAAACTCCTTCTTCCCCCCCCTTTCAATAAATCATGGTGTTCCTCAGTGATCTTTGCTCTCTCCAACTCTTTTCTCCATATACGTTAACGACCTTCCCGATTCCATCCATCATTCACAATACCACTTATATGCTAACGATCTCCAAATCTACCTTTCCTTTTATCCTACTGAGATGCTTGAGGCGATCCGAAGACTAAAAGAAGATATAAAGAGTATTACTACTTGGGAAGAGAGTAATGATTAAAAGTTAAACGTTGAGAAGACCAAAGCCATTCCCATTGGTTCCAAGCACCTCATCAAATCCATTCCATACTATCCAATACTCTACCTCACTGGACTACCTATTCGTTTCCATACCTCCGTTAGAAATCTCAGAGTAATTTTTGATCAATACCTGTCCTGGAATGATCATGTTTCCAAAATTATCCGAAAATATATTGCTGCCCTACAGGGGTGCCCATCCTCCCCAAGGTCGATGGCGCAAGATCCTATTCCCCCACCTCCAAGATATTTTATTGCTCATCTTTTCTTAAAAACAGAGCAAACGAAGATAGAATTAGAAAAATCATAGATCATATATGATTGCACTTGCTGAATCTGTTCCATATTTTCTCCTTGTTCCTTAGTATGAAACTTTAAATTCTTAAAATCTGTAACCCTGCCCTCCCCCATAAAAATTCAAAAACTCACCAAAATATGCCCCACTCAAAAATTTTGATGGCACAATTTACACCATCAAACCCTCTTCTGGGCACCGCTGTTACTATAAACAGCATAATAATTATCCATATGACACCGACTGTGACATTTCTGGTTAATAAATGCTCTTTTTCCGGAGCATCATGGGTCAAACGAATGAGTGCTTGCCAGCCAGTGAATCGCACCACCATAGCCACATAAATTAACTAAAAATATAATGCAAAATTAAATTTAAATAATATTTAGGTATTTACCGTTTGCCAATATTAACTGTCAGTCACCACTCTTAGTGTTAATTTCATATCTCTGTTTAGTACTGTAATAAGAATATGGAAGAGTAAGAAGTTTTTTCTTGGAAGAAAATTTCCATATATACTGCCGACAGGAGAGGGAATAGTCCAGTAGTCTGGCTCAAGAATCAAACCTATTTCTTTCAACAATTTGAAAAAATTCCAAGTCTATTCGAGACAGCATGCTGAATGTGGTGAATCGTTTAAATACAAAAAATGACAATCTACTAACGACGAAGTTGGTTCTAAATATTCCACAATCAGCATTAAGGCAGATGATGTTTGAAAAGATTAAGAAATATTTAAAATTAATTCATGAACCTCAAACTAATATTTTGTGAAGATGGATACAAATATTCTGCTCCCGACACAATACTGTTTAAAAAAAATAGCTGTGAAGCTGCCAGCTTCTCTTTCAGTCAACTAACGAATGAAATTGTTTAGCAGACAGTTCGAGAGAATTATCAAGATGATGACATATTCAACACGGTGAAACGCAATTTTTTAAGATGATGTTCGACTGAACTCTACATTCTAAGATCGAAAAATGTTTTAATGGATGTTTATCTAAAAACAGAATTACCATTAAGTTCATTACTTTATAAAAAAAAAAAAAAATATGTCCATAGATGTATATATTACAAATAGTAAACAGTATTGGTATGTTTTTCTTTTCAAAAAAGGACTGTTTTAAGCCCGTTTTGATTAAATTATATTCATTACTCTTGTTTGATTTCAATATAATGACCAGTGCCGTTATTGACAGTCAAAGGAGGATGAATATAGCGACTGATTGTTTATAACGCCGAACTTTACTCCTTCAAGGTAAACAATATCCACTGTATATTGTTTACTATATATTTCCAATTAAAAAAAATATTTACTGACTAAAAAAAATCTCGGACTCTAACAATTTTTCCCTGACTTTACCCTGTTTCCCGGTCACCTCCGTTATAATACATCCCAGATCATGGAAAACAAGATATTAAAGCTTTGTAATAATTTATTGTAGACAATTTTGCTGATAACACAGGTATGATTATAGGTACAAAATATAAATAACTTAAATTAGGTGACAAAATAAATCACATAATTTTCTTACAAAACTTAAAGTTAATCTCAATTTTTTTTCCTAATAAACCTCAAGTTCATTAATATGTACATAAATCTTATTGAACAAGGAATTTTTTCTAAAAGTGGGGTATATGTAGTATATTTGGAGGATGACAAAAAAAATTGCTTAGTTAAAACTTTGCTTAGTTTAGCAGATCAAAAGAACTCTTTAAATGGTTAATTAATGACAAACCTTTTGTATAGTTTACTGTGATGTAATTGTTAATTACCTAAATTAAATATGTTTTTAGTTGTTGCTTCCAATTCAAGAAAAAGCGTGACTTACTTAAAAAAACACGAAACTTAAATTTCTTACTTTTCTGTCGAAAATCGGACCAATGTTCAAATAGACTTTTTTGTAGCTCTACAGGTCTACTATTGCCTGTTTAAATATTTCCCTCTACTTACAGGACACCCTTTATAATTGTTTGCATCTATGTCTTCATTTGCTCATTATAACATTTATTATCTATGAAATGAAGCAGACAATATTCAAATGGAAAACTAACACACTCTATGGGTCTAAGTGTCATAAAAGAAAAAAGTACATAGATGCCTATGGACAACTTTGGTGAGTTGTAAATCAAAGAAACTGAAATTATTTTGGTAGAGAGGAACAGAATCAGTGATATGTTTAATTAAAAAGAAATTGAGTAAAGTAGTTGGTAGAACCAAACAACTCTGCCATCTAAGGTAAAAGATATGCCGAATGATAACTAATATTACAAACATCAAGGTTCATATTATGGTACAGCCACACATATGGCAAACATATACCATATGTAGCAGCCACACTACAAGGCTAATACAAATAATTAGACATGTGAGGGAATGTAGCATATGTGTGGTTAAACCGTAAAGGTAGTCGACCTTGACACACATTAATAATCCCCGATAAAATTAGATGACATAAGAACAAACTAAAAGAATGAAGGAATGATTATTTAACCCTTATCGGTCGCTAGCTTTTTATTTGTGATTCTCATTAGGTTGTAGCTGGTTTCAGTAAATACACAAAATAATTACAGTATTGTAAGAATAACATTTTTTTGTCACCACGTTAGAAGTGACTTACGACCGACGAGAATTAATTTGTGCTTCAGTTGCTAAAATCAAATTTTAAGAACTGAAAATTGACTCATACATTTGACTTTAGTCAACATTTTTATATTTTCACTCCATTGCAAAAATAGCTCCGCTATATAGAAATAATTGTTAACTTGCTTATATTATAAAAGCCAAAAACACGGCACAATGCAAACATCTGGGTTAATGAGAAGTTCTTTGATAAACCAATTATTTCATACATGAGAGTTAACTCTGTTTATTTTGTAATTATGATTACTTGAAAAATAAATAACTAACCAATTATGGCAAATAGAATCCTTTAATTGAAATCATCTCAAACACAGAAGTTCTTCCTTGAATCAATATATAAATTAATAATAAAAAAAATAAAAAAGTTTTATATGATTGTATATTGATAACTTATATGATTTTAAATAATCATCCAAACATCCTATGATGCACAAAGTAGAAAAACGATTACAATAATAATAAAAATAGAGAATCAAAGGATTTTACAGGCAAAAAACAAACAAATGTACTAATAATACACATAATAACTCAGGAAAAGCAAACTTGGTAACAAAAGGAAAACATAAGTCCAAATTTAAATGTAAACATAATTTATTTTAAATTTTAATGCGGTTGTAAATCAACAATTATTTACTTGGAATTTCAGGAGGGTTTTCTTTTTTTACATATTTTCCCACAATCCCCTCTTTGGCAGATCTGGACTCTTTTTTCCTCGACAGCATTGTAAAACACTGGTTTTAAAACCTTATTCAATCTTCTTTATATTCTTGATAGTAACACCATTTCAATGCACGTATCTATTATAACATCAAAATTCTGTTATAAATACATGAAAACAACCTATTCAAAATAAGGGGGTTTCAAGCAAAGCAAAGAAGCAAAGGTTTTGTTAAAAACAAAAAGAAGTGCAGATTGAATAAATATGAGTGATGACGTAGAAAGATGCTAAAAGAGGGAGAAGGAAAAAAGGTTGTATATTTAACAGTATTTTCATTCAAAATATTATTGTTATTCTCTGATTATATATATATATATATATATATATATATATATATATATATATATATATATATATATATACACATAAGATAAGGACAGGAGTCGGGCAGTATCAGCCTTAGTACCGTCCTACACTAGCGGATCCAGGATTTAATTTTGGGGGGGCTTCAGCCCGAAAGCTTTTTTTTTCATAAAAGTAACGATAATTACTTTGGAAAATACGAAAGAAACTAAGTACCTATACGAACTGGTGTTTAAGTGATTCCTAAAGCCCTTTTAAATGTAATTACACGAATAATTATACTTTAAGAGATAATTTTTTAGTATTTTTTCCGATAAAACATGGTTATATTTTACCATTTTGGGGGGGCTTCAGCCCGAAAGCCCCCCCCCCCCGTAGATCCGCCCGTGCCGTCCTAGAATGTAAACAAAGCCTTAAATGTATATAAGACGGATTACTTTACAAATAAATTAGTATTGTATCTGAAGCCGATTAAGTTATTTCTCAACCTCTTTCCTTTTTTTTTTATTGTTTTGTTCTACAGTCGCGTAAGTGGTGCGAAACCTGGGACACTGTCAACAGCCAGAAAGTAGTGATCTATTTTTTTTTCTCTTACTTCCTCAAACAGTGAAATAGAGTTGAAATGGTGACAGAAAGAATTCCTAATCCGGTAATATCAAATACACCGGAAGTTCTTCAGATTCCTGAAATTCCGCAGATTCGAGAAATCCCTCCGCTACCAAGGGACACATTGGCGAAAGCGCACGCCAACGCTTTACAATGGATGAAAGTAAGAGCAGCGACCACTCAGGATTTAAGGAGGGCGATAGCAGACTTGGAACGCTTCAGTGGAGAGGTAGGCGAACTAAATCATTTTCTGAAAGGTGGTGACCGTCTCATTTCCAAAATAGAGGCAAAGGTGGCGGAAAACTTGGTGAACTTGAGAGATGCCGAAGCATTGAAAGCAGCCTTGGTATACAGACAGACGAACAGACACCATGGCCGGTAATCAAGGAGAAGTTGAAGAAAGCTTTTGGGGGAGGCAGATGGACCCCGGAAGAAGACATTTTCCAGACGTTCAGGGAGCGCCGGTCGCAACGATAGACGAGTGGGCAGTATGCCGGAGTACTATTGGCAAAGTACAACCACATCACAGAGAAGATGCGCGAAATGATGAGTGCAGGCGAAGTAGAAGCCAGGATTGTGTTTCTGGGAACAATCCTTAAGATTCAATTGGCCAAGGAAACTGGAAAGAGGGACGGCTTACCTAGAGAACGATCTCCTCTCGAAATCTCTCCTCTTCCTCCACGTTGTTGGCGTGATTCTTGGTTTTCTGTAGGTCACCCGATTCCATCCTATCTCCATCCGGCTTCCTCTTCGCGCGCGCTTGTGTCGATCATTTCTTGCGCGCATTCAACGAACGAGCGGTCTCTGGTTGGCCATCCTTCTTTCCCGTCTCTCTGGCCAACTGAACTTAAAACTGAAAAGAATGACATCTTTGTTTCTACTTCTGCCGCGCTTGCCTTTTCACGCATCTTTGTCATTATCTTCTTATATTGTGACAAAAGTTCTCCAGCATATTGCCCAAAAGCTTGTTTAAGCTGTCTTCTTTCTCCAAACATGTGAAATATGTCCTCTTCTGGTGTCCATCTTACGCCTCCATACGCCTTTTTTAATCTCTCCTAGACAATAGCCCAAGGGGTTTCTTCGTCGACTTGGCTTAGGTTAAGAATACTCCTTTTGACTCTGCAAACCAGATCTGCCTTAATTGAATTCGCATCTCCTGTGTCAATTAGTTCTTCCGCTATTTTCACCTCAATCCGCCCCATCAACCGATCACCGGCTTTTAGGAAATGGTTCAATTCACCGGTTTCCCCGGTGAATTTTTCTAAATTAGAGACCACTTTTCTTTAGATTTCGCATGAGACTCCACTAACGTGTCTTTTGGCATTGGTGGGATTTGCCATTCCACTTGCTGATTTAGCATCTCTCACTGTTTAGCTTTCTTAGCGTGAACAAGTAAAAAAAAAAAAATAGAATAGAAAATTAAACTTTATTCTGGGACTAAGTCCCTTCAGAATAACAATGATGAGTTAATACAAAGTAAAGTACAAATCTGGCCAAAAACTAACTTCTAAAAATTTTAATATTATATACATTATTTAAAAAGTATGTAACCAGTAAAAAATAAAAATAATATATATACAAATGAACATAAAATCTTCTCAAAATTACTTAATTGTGATGAAAAAAAAAAAGAAGAGAAATTACATATTTATATATACATAACTACACAATTTAGAAACAATAGGCTATCTAATAGAAAACTAACTTAATATAAAATGTAATAATATCAACAGTGATTTATATAATAATATGCAGACACTAAGGTAAAATAAAATCTTAGGATTACTTGTGGTGTAATGGAAAAAATAAAATAAATAAAAGGAACTATTTATACGTACATTCTCATATTGGGACACAGAAAGACAAACATATAAAATATAAACATATATACCCGAAAGAAAAAGCACAACCTGAGGAGAAAATAAAAAAAAAAATAAATATTAAAAATAATAGTCAAACTAGGTGACAAAGATCATTGCTGTTTTATGTTAAAACTTAAACGGTAGGCACCACCATTTACTTCACGCAAATTCAGTTCATAAAATGAAATTTATGGTGGTAAATCTTCTGTTTGGGATGTAAGGAGATATTGGAAAAGGAGGTATTTGAAAGTTGACAGGGAAGAGGCATGACGGATGTTATGTGGCAAAGAATTCCAGTAGGAGACGGAGCGGGCTAAGAAGGAACGTTCATAGGTTTTTGTCCTGTGGAATGGAATATAGAGGTCAGAAACACGGGATCTCGTTTTTATTGAGTGGACTAAGGGTTTAGGCTGGAGGAGACAACAGATATAGGA